CCATCTCAGCCTATTTATATCTATATCATATCTCATCTATCTATCTATCTATCTATCTATCTCAGCTATTTATTTACATTCATCTATCTATTCATCTATCTATCATCTTATCTATCTATCTCTGTTCATTTAGCATCTATTCCATTCCGTTCATATCTATCTATGCCACCTGCTCATATCTCTATCTCATTTATTCATATTCATCTATATCTATCTATCTATTCATTCATCCATCCATCATTCATCTATCTTTATCTTTTATTATCTATTTTTTTTTCTTTCTATCTATTCACCCATCTATTCATCTATCTATATCTATTTTTTTTTCTTTCTTTCCATTCATTCATTCATTCATCATTCCATTCATCTATCTATCTATTTTTTTTTTTTTCTTTCATATCTACCCATTCATCATTCATCTATCTATCTATTATTTTTTTTTTCTTTCTTTCTTTCTATCTATCTATATATCTATCTATCTATTTATTAATATCTAAGAAGCAGCTTAAGTGAAAAATGATTGCGATGTAATTTTTTTTTTTAATTTTAAGTTGTGATCTTATATATCAATCTATGTAAACATATGTAATATAAGACCGGTGAGTCACTCAATGTAGAGTTTTATTGAATGCGTTGTGGGATATGAACACCAGAGGAGGAAGTATGAAGAGGTTATGTTGGATAGATGAGATATTGTAATTATTTACATTATTTACATTGTTCGGACTGTTGTCCTCAGCTGAGTAAAAGGGAGGTAACTTAGACATCCGGAAGTGGCATGGCACGTTGATCTAGAACAATCTACCCGATGGACGAAATAGATAGTTCAGTTCGAAATTCCCATCACCTGAAGAAGGCCGGAGCGTACAACGACCGAAACGTCGTGAATAGGACAATAAAGACCAGAACAACGGCCCGAACAATGTAAATAATGTAAATATAGAACAAAGGTTTTAGCAAGCTAAAGTTTTAACATTCTGGAAAGTAACGACGCGAGAGATTGTTCCACAAGGTAGCGATTTGTGGGGGAATAACATTTCAGAACGGAACGCACGCCCCATCTAAGAAAGTAGTACGCAAGGAACGGGGGCGATTCAAACCTTTGGACGTAGCAGCGGGACGGAGGGGCTTGGAAGTAACCGTGCCGGAAGATTTGCCGCAGAAGTTGCGACAGAATGACGTTGAGTCTGCGGGAAAAAGGTTGTAATATGCCATCACTCAAAAGGCAGTGTTATAAGGCTCTTTTTATTTTTTTTCATTTTTATGGCGTGGATTTTGAAATAAAAGTACAACGTTAGGTATATGTACACGTAACCCGTTGGATTTGGTAAGAGTTGGGGAGTATATTTTAAACAATGAGAAAAATAATCAAAACATTCGTCGTGAATACAATTGGGATGCTAAACTGAATATTCTTTATATTTAAAAAAAAAAAAAAAACTTCTTTCGATGTTATGATTTCGACAGCTGTTTCTATTACTGATTGTATTTAATTTATTTTCTGAGAAAATGTCTGTTTATCAAGATTAGAATCTGTTAAAAATAGATCAGCTGCGTGACTAGACTTTCATTCATATTTCTTTTGATTTTTAGAACAGTGGCTTGTTTGTTTTCTAATCATTTCATCTCTAAAGAATACAATAATAGAACAAAAATTAATGCAACAAAGATAAGGATATTCTTCCGAGTAATTCATGGTATAATGGAAGTATTCAGTACAACAAACAACATGAGTTAAACAAAATAAAGAAGACGATAATGTGTGTGCGTGTGTGACAATTTTATTCCTTTTATGACCAGATGAAAGGTAAGTTTGGTTACATTTTCAAACTTAGGATACTTGTCTCCGTTAGTAGTTGCATAATTGAAACAAAGAAAAATCATCAGAGTCTGTCTATGTTTCTGAGATGAGGTATTATGTACATTATTGGGACTATTGTCCTCACCTTTGTTGCCATATTTATCCGATCCTTCAGTATCTGTCTATATTTCTGAAATGAAGTATTATGTACATTATTTACATTATTTGAACTATTGTCCTCATCTTTGTCGCCGTATTTATCCGTTCCTTCAGTATCTGTCTATATTTCTGAGATGAGGTATTATGTACATTATTTACATTATTCGGACTATTGTCCTCATCTTTGTCGCCATATTTATCCGATCCTTCAGTATCTGCTTATATTTCTGAGATGAGGTATTATGTACACTATTTACATTATTCGGACTATTGTCCTCATCTTTGTCGTCATATTTATCACAACGTTTCGGCCGTTGTACGCTCCTACAACGTATAAATCGTACGACTCATACAGCAATCGCTATCACTTGACTTAAAATATTTTGTCCCTTCCTTGCCTTTAAAGGAGTGCCCCTTGCCGTGCTGATGTTGCTACATGCCTTACTTCTTGCCTATCTCACACTGCGAACATTGAGTTTAAGCAAGCGAATGAGCCAATTGGAGTAAAGTGCCATGCAGATTTAAATTTTTCTCACTTGTGACGAATGCAGCTATCGCTTTTTTTTTTTTTTGCATGGTAGCATGCTAGTTAACATTCGTGTCAGTCAGCTGTTGGCTCTCACGCTGGCCGATAGAATCTTCCTGCCTATTCGTGGCAGCCAGCTATAGGCTCTCACTCTGGCCAATAGAAAATGGCCGCAAACTTTATGAAAACTGCCGTAGAAGCATGAAAAATCGATTATTTCCACTATCGATGGGAGTTGGGAAATGCAAAGTCGGTCTTAGCCTTTTCCTGCTATTTTGGAGCATGTGCATGTAAATTTTGCAAATCCGTCGAAAATTGCGGCCGTGCATTACACACACACACACACACACACACACACACACACACACACACACACATTATCCTGCCTTTTATAGACTCAAATCCTCCCCTTCATCGGCCTTGTGCCATAATTGTATTTATTACAATAAACATTTCGGCTACTTAATTTGAGTAAAACAGTATAAAGAAGTTCGAAACGCTTAAAAATTTAAATCAAGGAAAAACAAACGGAGTTTATGACGTTTACTACGTAATAGGAAGTCGAGGCATTAAAAAAAATGTCATTTTTTTTTCCATATCATATTTTTCTTTAGAGCAAAGATGTCCAGACAGGATGGAGTTGTGCTGCATTTATCCAGATATATCTATATACATAAGGTCACAGAATTGACTTCGACCATCCGGAAATAAAATTGATAAACCAAAAGCATTTCAATCAATGAAGAATAGCTGAACAAATGGTAATAGCAACTACAAAAAATGCCTGCAATAAGATAGACTGCTTGAAATTAATCGTGTTACTAGATTGGCAATTAGGTCTCATTGTTTTACTGCTGAACTAGCAAAACTTAACCGCCACATCTATTTTAATTTTGTTTTTCTTACACTTTTCACGTTTAGGACTCCCTTCTGTCTTCCTGAAACCTGTTCATTTATTGTCCTTTCCCCCATACCTCTCCCCTAAATTCTTCCCATTCTTTTTCACTCCCTGTACACTACCTCGAATCCTAGTAACATTATCGCCTTGATTGAGGCAAAATGATAAAAAAAATGTCTGCCTACAAATAATCCAAATAATGATATCTTTTTTGTTTTGTTTTGCGAGAAAGTGTGTTTGAATTTTGGAAGCCTTTTCAAGATGGTGGCTGACCTGTGAGGTCAACAATTCGAATGAGCAAATATCAGGTGAACTTATAAATAATGTTTATAATCTGACATTCTAAACTGAGTGATGGACTGATTTGTTTTTTTACGGGCTATCAACCTTTTTCAGATTATTTAAAACCAGAAAATATATTTTTAGATTGGAAGAAAGTTTAGGACATAATTTACCTACTGACATGTGGCTTACGAATTAACCCATAGCTGGGGGAGAAGAAGTGGATTCATACCTTTCCCAAGGGTATTTGCTCGTAAGAATATAACGATCCCGGCTGAAATTGGAACTCGGCTCTCCAATGAACAATTCCTAGCCCGTGTTCATTACACCACCCTCACATCCAAGCCTACAGCACCAGTTGCCATCGAAGACTCGTTTACTGGACCATTTGCCATCCAAGGTTATAGAACCCGTCTGTCCTACCGCAAAAACAAATAGCAACCTACTGCGGGAAAAAAATCTGCCTCGTGAGTCATGTATCGAAAGATACATGATCGCCTAAGCGTATATCACGCATGGCACATAACTGACTGACTACAAAACCAAATTCCCTTGGGAAAGATATGGATTCATTTTCTTAAATCCTAAGGCAGACTGGGTCTTATAGCATTGCTTGTCTACCAGTCTACCGCAAGAAGAAACGGCAGCTTACTGCGGGAACATCTGCTTAATGAATCCTGAATCGGAAAAAAACATGATTGCCGAAGTACGTATCATGTGTTGTACTTAACTGACAGACAATAAAGTCTGTGTTATCTACGTATCTAAAGGCTATCTGTGACTCCACTACGTTATTGATATTATTTGAATCAAGCATAAGAAGACAAGGTACACTGACACCCACTGGGGACTGACACGTGTCCTACTAATTAATCCATACCTGGGGAATTAAGTGGATTCATACCTTTCCCAAGGGTATTTGCACATAAGTGAATATAACGAACCCTACTTGAATTAGAACTCGGCTCTCCAATGAACAATTCCGAGCCTTTGTTCATTACACCATCCACACACCTAAGCCTACAGCGAATCTTATTCTTAAGCCGTCTCCCATGTAGTTACTGACTAGTTGTTTAACTTCGGTGATCGTATGAGATATGGTATGTCAACGTGATATAATCGTAAGTTTCGTTATTATAAAATGTCCAATGATGCTAATATATGCTCACAGGTCAGCCGATAAGTAATGCATGAAATCTGTTAGCGAGAGATAATCAACTGAGAAGGCTAAAGTTCGAACGCAGCTCGACTTCTGGATTAATAGCCAACACATTACCCACACTTGTACCTTGGTATTATTTAATATAATATGTTTTATCAAAGTTATGTTCTTGCTTTATAGAGCTGTATAACAAAACCCAGTCAGATATGGGCTATGCGTGATACACGTTTAGGCGATCATGTATCTTTCGATACATGACTGACAAGGCAAATTCCTTCCTGTAGTAGGTTGCCACTTTCTTTCTGCGGTAGACCAGTTACCATCTAAAGCTATAGAACCCGGTCTGTACTGCTATTTATCCATAGAGAGAGAATAAGAGAATTCATACCTTTCGCAGTGGTATTAGCGCGTAAGTATATATCAGTCAGTTATGTGCCATGCGTGATACACGCTTAGGCGATCATGTATCTTTCGATTCATGACTGACGTGGCAGATTTTTTTCCCGCACTAGGTTTCCATTTCTTTTTGCGTTAGACCAGTTGCCATCCACGGGTATAGAAACGGATCTCTCCTACCGCAGAAAGAAATGGCAACCTACCGCGGAAAAAAAAATCTGCCTCGTCAGTCATGTATCGAAAGATAGATCATTGCCTAATCCTGTATCATGCATGGCACATAACTGACCAAATACAAAATCAAATGCCCTTAGGAAAGGTATGAATCCATTTTCTTTAATCGTAAGGCAGACTGGGTTATATAGCATTGTTTGAGTGCCACTTTACCGCAGGAAGAAACGGAAGTCTACTGCGGGAACATCTCCTGCGTAGTGAGTCGAAAAAAGATATTATTGTCCAAGCACGTATCACATGTGACGCTTAACTGATAGTAAAGCCTATGTTATGTATGTACTTAAAGGCTTTCTGTGACTCCACCACGTTATTGGTATTATTTGAAACTAGCATAAGAAGACAATGTTCACTGACAACTATTGGGGACACCGTTTCATAGTGTGTCAATCATTTTACCCCACTCCGCACAACAATTAATTTTTTTTTTAACAGCGGAAAAATTGTCTGATTTCATTTCACATATTTTAATTTTTGCATCAATTTTTTTCAAGTGCGCATCGCCTTTTGCTTTTCACCACAAATAGCAGCGCTGGCTTGGCCTTCTTTTTTTTTTTTTTCTTTTTTCTTTTCAATCATTTCACCCCATTCAAAACATTAAAGCCACTACGACCCAAGGGTTACTGAATATGAGAAAAAGAAACCAGCTAACGAGACAGAACAATAAAATAACACGAATTAAAATGACAATGGATAACGCATATCTATGGAGACGAGAGATGGGTTCAGGATTTTTAAAGAGTATTATGTGGGATTTGAAATGGCTCGCTGATCTTGCATGTTATTCCTGGTTAATGAATGAATGGGCGTACCCTATAGCTGTCTCTGGGGCAATATCACCCAAAATATAATTCCAAGAAACCACTTTCTCGTGGTGGTGTCACGCCAAGCTTGATAGTTCCAAAAACACTGCTGATAAGTGAGTTCGATCCTAGATGGGTGTCCTTTTGCACATGGCGTTCTGCCAAAACAAAGCTAAGTTTTCTAAAAAAAAAAAGGAGGGTTGTCGGATTATTCTTTTACTGCTTTGATTGTAACGAGAAAATAACAAAGCCGAGCGGCTATGAAAATACGACTTCTTCGGAGGGAGACTTGCTGTTGTTATTTCCACACATGGATTTAATGCGAAGAGCAGAGATGTAGATTCTGTATTTTTTGGTGCCAACTGTTTTTACAGCTGCTTTTCATTACCAAACATGTGCGTCTCTTTCGTGTTAAGTTTTTGCGTCGATAGCATATTGGTTAAAGCAACAAACTATTGACCATAAACAATACAGTTCGATGATGAGTCAGTTTAAAGTTAAGGCAAAAAGCTCAAGAAAATCATTAACTACATTTACTTACTCTCGTTCATTAGAAATGAAATTATGTCACTTAGCTTCTTCCATAGTTTCCATTGACTTTCAGTTTGCCTGAAAGATGTCTATGAGCATCTCTTAATTTAAAAAAAATTCTAAAACAACTAACATTTTAACTGTGTATAAATACTTGGTGCAAAATAAAAATCCTTATTTATTAGGCATTAAATTATGTCATTTCGCATCCTCCATAATTTACTTAGACTTTCCGGTTAACCTGAATATTTGTGAGCGTCTCTTAATTTTTTTTTTTTTAAATTTAAGAACATTTTTAATTTGTTTCCAAATACATGTTGCAAAATAAAAGCCTCCCATTTACCTTGAGGAAGCCTATCAGCGGACAAAACGCATGAGGTAAGCAAAGTTATAATTTTGTTTTTATTCATATATATATATATATATATATATATATGAGGAACTCCCCCGTCGTATGAGGTTCCCAGGACCACCTACTATATATCTGCATGTCTATTAAGGGCATGACTCTTGAGGCCGGCTCGAGAATTGCACAAAAAATCCAAGAACAGAAGAAAGTATTGAAATAGAAACAGAAAGTATTGATATATATATATTATATATAATTATTTTTTAAAATATGATTCCTTCGCTACATAAGAGTTCTCATGCTTCAAAAAACGAGAGAGGAAAACCTCAATATAATTATTAAAATTAAATTGAATTAAAGTAACAAGCCGTGTTTCATCCTCGAGCGAAAATTTAGGAATAAAATAAAAATAAAAATACTAAAGTTTACCTAACGTTGTTCTTTCCTATTTTTCTACATACCTGCACACACACACGCATATATATATATATATATATATATATATATATTGTCATTAACAGACAGACTGTTTCGCTGTATCACAGCTCAGTGCGACTAGACATCCGAATGCTATAAACCATGACCTGAATATATATATATATATATATATATATATATATATATATATGGAGAGGATAAATGAAACGTATGAAATATAAGCAGGCGTGTACGTGTGGGCTGGTATTATACGCAGGTGCAAAATATAAATAATCGTTAAATTTATGCATGAGGTGTAAATGTAATAGTACCCAATGTGGTTATACAGAACAAAGATATGTCTCAATTGGTGCCACTATAGTTTCGTTTCGAAACTATAGTCGCACGCCAAAAACGTAGGTACGCGTATATGTACTAATTAATACACACACTATATATATATATATATATATATATATATATGAGAGTAAGTACAAATGAAGTAAAATTCCGCTTTTCGTAGCATTTACTTTTTAAAAGCGTGCTCAACAGAAATTAGAACAATATATTATTACTTAAAAATATACATGTAATAATATATATATATATATATATATATATATATGTAACAGATTTATATCTACAGAAATAAAACACAGATTTGAACAAAGTGAACGTCATTTTACACCTAAGGAACCATTCAACCAACACTTTTTCAAATGTGTTCTTCGGCAAATTGGAAAACAATCAAGGACACAACAACAATAACGAAAGAGGAAGGAAAGTTGGAACGCGACTAAAATAAAATAAATTTTTTAATTGTACATAATTAAAAAAGGAAAAACAAGTTCCAGGAGAGTATAAAACGAAAAAGAAAGACACTCCCAGTCCCTCAAACAACGGGTAAAGAACCGCATAAAATGCTCCTTTTGTCTACACGGGCTCGGCCGGTGAAATTTTATAAATACAGCCTCGAGCATTCGGAGATGGTAAACCGAGCTATCACTGCGTAGAATTGAAAACCATGTGTCTTCATAATCGGCGGCACAGTCCAGGCTGTCCAGCAAATGCTGTTCAATAGCCGAATCGTGGATTGCCTGAGTAGTTCTTAAAGATTAGCTTCTATTACTTGAACGGAAATAGGCGGGAACATGTTGTGCAATCAGCGTTTTGTACATAAAAAGAAACTAAAATCGTCTTTTTTTTGCAACTTTTACTAACGGGTATGGGTAATATTAGTCATAAAGAAACATTTCATATTCTTTAACCTAGTTCAACAATACTACTTGAATTAGGCTTTTCTTCAGTCCTTGTCTATTGAACTGGTTTTAATGTATAGTGTTGCGGATTCTTAGATGAAATTCGGTCTCCAATGAATGACAAACGCAAGAATGAAATATAACAAATGTATTTACACAATAATACAATTGGTAATACGGTTAGTAGATCCAGAAACGCGGTTAGCAATAATAATAATGATAATAATAATAATATATATATATATATATGTATCAAGTTCAATTGAAATTGTTTAATACAATATCAGTTTCAGGAGATAACTGAATTGAGCAAAAATGAATCGAAATGTTTTTGTTGTTATATATTAAAAATTCAAAATAAAAAATATAGACGCTATAACAACAAAACATTTGATTTCATTTTTGCCTTTGAAAAGTCGGAAGACGAAACGCGTCGGCAAATGTATGATTTTTTCCAATTGTCATTTGATACCAATCTGTCTTGTCCACAGAATTATCTGGGATCTAACTATATATATATATATATATATATACAGTCTGTAAATCCAGTCTGAAGTAGGACTTCCTTAGAGTCTACGTGCTTGTAACTGTGACTTCTACAAGCGGCTACCTCACACTATTACTCTACCTCCAACTCAATCACAATCTCTGCTCTCTGTCTACTCTGACTGACTCTGGGTATTTAACGGCAGCAGTCCAAGTACACACTGGTAGAGTTCACTTTTATGAAAAAGGGGTGGACCCCATAACATATAGTATTTGTTAGTCTCATCTCTAATGGTAAGATAGCCGTTTCCTTAAAAGGAAACATTCGGCATTCATTGACCGAGCAGACATTGCTGCTATCGATTGAAATTTACAAAATCTACCTTTTAAAACCATTTGTCAGGCAAATGAATTTCTCAAGTCCAGTAACTGTTGTTGCGCTTTCTATTATTCATAGTAGTTTCCTTCCTAAGCTTTTGTTCGAAGTAGTGTGGAATGTCAAAATCTTGATCATTATCGCAATTTTCAAAATATAAGGTCTTAAAATGACAACTTTGTGGAGTGAATACCTGTAACTCAACCAGAAACTAGGACATCTGTCAGCTTATTGCTAAAACGGGACGCTACGCGTGACGTCTTTGGGGTGGTTGCGAGGAAATTCTGTCCTGCTAGCTGATAATTGAATAGTGAAAGCGATATTCATAGACCGTAATAATTACGAGGTCGAATAGCAGATATGATTAGACTGAAATAGATAGATAGATAGATAGATAGATAGATACCGAACTAGATAAAAACAAAAGATATATAAAAAGATCTTTTAAAACAGATAAAAACAATACATATATATATATATATATATATATATATATATATAGATAGATGATAGATAGATAGATAAAAAAAAGGAAGCAGACATGTAGACAGACAGACAACTAGATAACAAATATGTAGAAAGATACATAGATAATCTCTTGATAGATAGATAGATAGTAACAGAGAGGTAGACGGACAGATAGATAAACAAATAGATAGGAACAGATATTGACAGTCAGTTTATAGATAGATTGATAGATACAAACAAAAATAAACATAGATAGATAGATAGATAGATAGATAAAAAACAGACAGGTAGATAGGCAGATATATAAATAGATAGAAAGAGATATTGATAGTCTGTTTATAGATAGATAGATTGATCGATAGATAGAAACAGACAAAAATAAACATAGATAGATAGATAGATAGATAGATAGATAGATAAAAAACAGACAGGTAGATAGGCAGATATATAAATAGATAGAAAGAGATATTGATAGTCTGTTTATAGATAGATAGATAGATAGATAGATAGGAAAAGACAAAAATAAACATAGATAGATAGATAGATAGAAATAGACAGGTAGATAGGCAGACAGATATATAAATAGATAGAAAGAGATATTGATAGTCTGTTTATAGATAGATAGATAGATAGATAGATAGATAGATAGAAATAGACATAGATAGATAGATAGATAGATAGAAACAGACAGGTAGATAGGCAGACAGATATATAAATAGATAGAAAGAAATATTGATAGTCTATAGATAGATAGATAGATAGATAGATAGATAGATAGATAGATAGATAGATAAGCAGCCAAAACAGAGCATCGGTGTCTTTTTTTTTTGGTCGACTAGTGGCTTTGACGAAGGCCAGGTGCCTCTTCACCTACGCCTCTTATTCAGAGTCGATGAAAAGTGATGAAAAGAAGAAAAAACAAGATATACAAACATGTTGAGTGTTTATTTATTTTCATTGGTGGAAAATTCAAATTAGTTTCCCGACCCGTTTTTCCCCTCCTTCTTCTTTGGATTTATTTGGAGCCTTGCACGTGTCGTGGCGTGAGATCACCCGCTCGAATCTACAAACAAACACGAGAACTTACATTTACTAAATCCATCCTAGTTTGTCACAAGGACACGCACATACGGAGCACCATGTAAGGTTCGAATGAATTGCTGTTGTCATGATAGTTTAGATTAGCTTGCAAATAATTTTTCAACGTCGAAGTATTAATATTCTTCTTTTTTTTTTTATAAAGAATCAATTCACCCCAAGCAAGACGATAATGCCACTAAGATGCTAGCGGCTAAAGATAATGAGAAGACTTTCGAAGGAACTATAAATTCAATCCTAACCAGGAAACAAGCAATAAATATCTAACTTTCGGCACTCATTGCTGGTGGTTGAAGATTTAAAAGAAATTCGACTTAAAACAAGTCCAATAACTGTTATTGCTCTTTCCATTGTTCCTACCAAGCGTTTTTTTCCAATTAGTGTGGAATGTCAACATCTTGATTATTATCGCAATTTTCGGGATATAAGACGCATGTCAAAAATGACAATTTTCTGGAGTGTATACCTGTACCCCATCAGGCTTTAAGACCTGTGTCAGTTTATTTCTCAAGCGGAATGTAAGGTCTCTGGGTTGGTTGCGAGAAAATTCCGTCCTGCTAGCTGAATAATGGACGCAATATTCATGGAACAATTACAGAATCGACAGATAAATAGATATGATTAAACTGAGATAGATAGATAGATAGTAAAAAGACTGCGACACACACACACACACACACATATACATATATATATATTTTGAACAATAAAAAAATATTAAAAAATTAAAATCTTTAGACACACTGGGTTGTAGATTAATATTCTTTCGTTTTTTTTTATTATTATTATTTCATTTAGATTCGTCGACTAGTTTCAGCCAACATGGCCATCATCAGGAGAAAAATAATTTTCTGCTTGCTAGTAGCAGTGAACTACAGAAATGAATGTCTTGCTGGAGAAAATGAACTTTTGTCTGGAGTTTTCATTTGATTTTTTTTGATTTTTTTATCTTTTTAACATGAATCTTTTAACATTCCTTGTGTTGATCAAACAGTCTCTTTTGGTTGTTATTTGAATAAGAGCTGGATGGATCTATTCTTCTCTGAACTCAGGTGGTCCAGTTTGACAGTTTGTTATATATATATATATATATATATATATATATATATATATATATATAAATGCTATATATATATATATATATATATATATAAAGTAAAAAAATCGTCAGCCACGTGGCCTGACGATTATATTATAGCAAAATGTCGACTCTAAGTGTTGACTATATGTTCGCTAGTTTTATATATATATATTTATAATATATATATATATATATATATATATATATATTTAATAGTCAAAAAAATCATAAAAAATTTTTCTAAAATGAAATAAAAAAAAAAAAGCGTATGGTAATATACATAATATGCAAGAATAATTTTTAAATAATTTAAGTAATTTATTAAATTTATTTGTTTAAAAAAGAAATATAATCTATTACTGATTAAAAGTAAAAATAATATTTTAAAATTGGAGTTCAATACAACGGATTCTAATCCAAGCACCCCCCCCTTTTAGAAAGAATCTGTATGTAAACAAGAACGAATTTAACGAATATTTTTGCCGGAGATAAAAACAAAACAAAACAGACGACATGCGTTGAACGGATATCATAATTCGTTGCAAAAGGCACCCCTACCTTAACGAGACTTTACCTCTTTTCGAACGTAACTCATAATTGATACAATAATAGTTAATAAAAAAAAGAACAAGCTACCGCCTCTGTCTAAATGATTGGATTTTTCTGTATTATTAGAGTATATGCTTTTAAAACTCGGTAAATTTCAAAATAAGATATTCCATAATTCGCTTGAAGATGAAACAGAACTAATGCTTTTAATTAATATATAATTGAATTTCAAGTTTTTAGGTTCTGTTAATAATATATATATATATATATATATATATATATATATATATATATATATATATATATATATATATATATATATATATATATAGTCGACTCTCCCGTCAAGCAGACCAGTTTACAGGAACCGACAGCCCGACAACAGCACATGAGGTTTGATTATAGTGGTGAAGGCCTCGTCGAGGACCATCCACACTTTTTGAAGGGACGAATACAGAGACCTGGCGCAGGTTTTGAATTCAGAGTTGTCCTTCTCCTAGACCAGTTGCCAACCAAGGCTATAGAACCTAGTCTGTCCTGCTATTTTACCAATAGCTGGAGTGAGAAGAAGAGGATTCATACCTTTCCCAAGTGAATATATTGGATTGGAATTCGAACTCGGCTCTGCGATTCCTCAATCCAAGCCGCTATCCATTACTCCACCATGCCTCCTTATATATATATATAAACAGACAAAGATCAGTAGAAAGATAAATGGACGATGGGCTAACGTATTTACTCCTAGGAAAATTAATAGTATCAGAGCTTAGGCTGAGCCGTTAGAAATATAAATTTGAAGTAGACTATAGAAAGGACTGTAAATCCATTCTACACTAGAAACAAGGAATAAACTTCTACTTCTGTTAAAAAATACTAACTGGGGAGTGAGGTAAACGGGGTTATAGGCGAACCTGTCTAATCCTATTAATTTAACTCTGTACAATGATCCCGAAGGATTTATGTGTAATCGATCTGCGGAGCAAATAACGGATCGTGGTCAGTCAGGCAAAATCCTTCATGCTGTCCTCATCTTCTAAATTGGAAAAATCAAAGTTTAAGGATCTTTTTGGAGGAATCAACACAGACAAGAATGAAATTTATATAATAAACTCTTATTTTCTTAAATGTTATTTTTGGTGGATGCCCATATTTAAGTAAACGCTCCGTCTATTTCTTAGACAGCCTATTTATATATGTCCGTCCTCAGGCCTAAATATTCGAAAGATATTAAAGCAATATCAAAGCTCTCCGTCGGATTTGAACTTGAAACTTATCCGGAGAAACCTTCATTAGATCCGATGTCTTTTATACGGCCGCGTCCACAAAGTGCGTCGACGTTTAATCAAGATGTATCACTATGGCGAATGAATTTTCTTAATAGAGTATCAAAAAGGCGGAGGTGTTTTTTTTGGGGGGGGTGATAATGAAAGCAATATAAAAGGCAAAAGAAAGGTTTTTAATAATAAAAAAAAGCAAAGAACGTCGTATAAAGGGGAAATGAGTTGTTATAATAAAAGTAACACAAACATGAAAGGAAATGCTTTGTAATAAAAAAAAAGGAACACAAATGTAAAGGAAACATTTTTACAATGAAAAAGCAAAATTAAGATAATGGAAGTTGTTTTGTTATAAAAAAAAAGTAACACCGGGGCGAAGGAATGTTGTTATAACAAAAAACGTAACACAAACAAAAAATAATTTTATGTCATCAAAATATAACAGAAAAACAAAGAACATTTTTTTGTTACAAAAAAAAAAATAACGTTGTAAATTCTTAATAACAAAAAGCAATTCAAAGATGGAGAATTTTTTTTTTAAATACGGAACATCACCAAAACCAAAGAACATTTTAGTTAACACAATAATCTCCATCATCTAATTCTTGAGACAATGAGCTATAAAGAGAAACTAATGACTAAAAACAAAGTTTTAACAAACGAATAATTGCTACCAGTTTCTTTTACAAACCTACTAAAGATAGATTGATTTAAAAACACAATAATACTGGATTTTTATTTATACATTATGAAATGGACAAAGTCCGACAATTATTTTAAGACATTTTTATGTTTATACATTCTTTTTATAGATAGAAATATTTAAGTAAATTCTCTGTTTATAAGAAACAGTATTAAACAACATTTACCAGCCTGAATATCTGAGAAATTTTCACAGGAAATATTCGTCCTGCGACAGTTTCAAGTTTAAATACAGTATCGACCTTGCTCACCGAACGCTCCTTCGTGGCCAAATCGGTAAAGGCAAGTCAAGCGTAATGATGGTTCCGCGTAGGATACAGGTTCGAATCCTGTCGGAGGATGCATATTTTCTATGAAAATTTCTCGGACATTCAGGACATTAAATGTTGTTAATACTGTTTTTTACAAACGGAGCATTTACTTAAAAATATGTATCTATAAAAACCTAAACATAAAAATAATTGTCGGACTTTGTCCATTTCATAATGTGTGACGTCATTTGTTTACATTTGATATGCCATGAGCAATATATATATATATATATATATATATATATATATATATATATATATATATATATATATATATATATATATATATATATATATATATATATATATATATATATATATATATATATATATATATGTTGGATAATAATATTTTGAATTTTCAAAATTGAATTTATTTCTTTTTTATATGTGAAACTTTTATTTATAATTTATTTGCTTTTTAAGACTTATCAACTCTTTTCAGGTTCTGTCTATATTCCTCAAGGACACATGGCACAGTGGATAAAGGCGTTGGTTAGATCCAGTGACAGGACCCAAAGAGTGTGAGTTCAATACCCGGTTAAGGCAGTGGAGAATTTTCTCAGCGAAAATTAACAGAAGATAACTGATAACTGACATCCATCAAAACATGGCACGTGGAACTAGAACAGTCTACCCCAGTGAGCGAAATAAAGGGTTCAGTTCTATATTCTAACCACCTGAAGAAGGTCGGAGCGGAGCGCACAACGGCTGAAACGTTGTAATGAATATGGCGACAAAGATGAGGACAATAGTCCGAATAATGTAAATAATGTCTTTTCAGGTTGTTTAAAACCAGA